GGCTGAGGAAGGGGGCCATCCCAGGGCTAACCCTTGGAGGGACTGCCGGCCCCCAAAGCCTCCCAAACGTGGCCAGAGATTCAGCAAAAGGGCACATCCTTAAGAAGCAGAGTCTTCCCCGCCTGCCCCACTTCTCCTCCACTGGGCTTCCATGCCTCCCGCTCTTCCTCTGCATCCTCCCTTCTCTTGCCTGAAGAGCTTCCAGCTGAGGTGGGATTTGACGCAGAGATGTTCCCACATTAGAGCTTCTGAGCTGGGCTCCCATTCTTGGCCTTCTTCGCCCAGAATTCAGAGCCAGCACAATTCTGAGAGTTAGAAAAGTTGGAGGGGCAAACCCTTGAACGCCAGCTCCATGCCAACAAACTCCTGGTCAGTTTCTCAAAGGCTTGGAATAGCTGTTAGGCATGCAAGATTACCGTCCAGTCACACCAACCCATCAGAAAGATGACTTAAGCGCTTTTTTATTTTCTTTTGCAGAACTTTCTTCACATTATTATGCTTCATAATTCTTACAGGGAGTATCTACATTCTTTATTTATACATTAGAGCCCCTTTGGGGTCATGGTTAAGGCACCAGGCTAGAAACCAGGAGACTGGGAGTTCTAGTCCTGCCTTAGGCACCAGGCCAGCTGGGGGACTTTGGGTCAGCCACTTTCTCCCAGCCCTAGGAAGAAGAAGGCAACGGCAAACCACTTCTAAAATCTTGCCGCGAAAACTGCAGGGACTCGTCCAGGCAGCCTCTGAGAATCGGACACGGTTGAACAGATTAAAAAACAAAACAAAAACTACATTCTAGTTTTGTGGAAAGCTAGAGCAAGTAAATGAATTTGGGGACTCTGAAAGTTTGATACAAGTGGGAGAATGGATGAAGAAGCGTGAAGGTGTGCCAGTGCTGTGGAAAGATAGAAGTAAGTCAGATCCTGTTGCACTGGGATACTGTGGCAAAGCAAGAAGAGAGGATCCAGAATGTGGCCTGAATGCAAAAGTAACTGATAATGAAAAAAGTAAGTTGGAGAGGTTTGGTCATATGGAGCGAATGAATGCGTATCGGACTTCAAAACACATGGATGAAGGAAGAGCGAAGGGACAGAGAAGACCAAGGGAGTCCTGGCTGGAGGGCATCACCAAGATCTTCAGAAAGAAGAGGGGGAAGTTTAAAGAGCAAACTGCTGTGTGAACTGCTGTGGTGGAAGCAAGTATGGGGGGGGGGGGGAGCAAGGATAAAGGTATGAAGAGATCTAGCGAACAGGGCGGAGTTAACTGGACTTAGTTATTTTCCTTCCTTTTTCTTATTTCATGCATTAACTTTCTTGGGGTTGTTATCTACCCCTTTTCTGCCATTTCCATAATGCTGCTTAATCTGAAAGGGGAAAAGTGTGATGGGTAAATATATAAGCAAGGCTATGTGTCCATAGCAAGCTTGAGAGTATGAAGAGTAAGCAGGGTGGATACAAGAAGGTAAGTAGAAAGGCTCCGATAGGCGGTCTGGCCTTTGGAAGGAGGCCCTCATGACCGGATGATTGCAGCTAAAGGGAATGTTTTCCAAAAGGATGCAGCAGGAAGGGAGGAATAATGCTTCTGTACGTAAGCTAGGTAGATCACTGCATGGAAATCCATATAGTCTTGGGTTAGACCCACGGAAAGTAACAGGTTAAATAATATGTTGGCAGGACACTCTGCCAACCAGAAGGTGCAAATGAGGCCTCTGCAAAACAAGCATTCACAGAAAACCCAGAGCAGCAATGTGGGATTTCAGCTTTCCTGATACTTGTGTGAAGTGTAAATCTAGTAGTCCTGGCATGGTGGGGGGGAAAAGGACTCTGGTGACATGTTTTAACTCTCCAAAGACAGAGAAAGACAATAAAAATGTTGGATTTATATCTAAGCCACAAGGACTGAGGAGGGAAGTAAACGTAGCTGGAACTCTGGAGAGATGCCATGTTGACATTTGTGATAGCGAAGGACAGAACTAAGCAAAGCCAGCTGTGTATCCGGGACACAGCATTTCAAAGAGGTTAGAGGAAGTTCAGGAGTCTTCCTTAGTTAGAAATTCCGAGAGAGAGAAGTACTCAAGGGGGATGAGGAATCCAAACAGCAAGGTAATTGCAAGCTCTCCCGGGAGAAGGGACATCTGAAGGCCACCGGGCTGCAAATGGCCAGAATCAGCAGCAGAGAGATACCGAGAAGTATTCCTGAGAAAAGGGATCCCAAGAGTTGATCAAACATGCTCCATCCAAGAGTCCCGTTTTTGAAAACAATGTTCGGGAAAGAGACAACGTGAACCACGTCCCAAGGACCATGAGGAGACAGTAGAAGAGTTTTCTGTATCTCTTCACCTACCTTCTAGTGGCCATCAGGATTTATGCAGCCCAGATCTGGTAGCCCTAGGTTCTCAAGAAGCTGAGACTGGAAGTGTGAGTAGGGAACAGGAAGCAGAAAACAAGGCCAAGAATGAGTGCAGGAGAGTAGCCTGAATGTGTAAAGCCAAGCACAAGAGACTTGTAAAGGATTCCAAAAGCGGTAGAAGACCTTCGCTATGTCAGAAGCAGGAAGAGCCAGGAAGAAGGCTGCTGCTTACTTCCTTCTGTGCCTTGAGGGTCTTCTGTCACAAGAGAATTATGCTTGGCGAGGAAAACAATATAAGGAGAGATGGGACAGGCAAAGGTGCTGGAGAACATGTCATCCCTAGTTAGAGGAAGCACTTCTTGGGATCCAGAAAACACTGGCAGATGTTCTTTCTGAGAATTGTTGGAAAATAAAGCTGGTGTCAAAAGGCTAGAGCCAGGCAACCGTTTCCCTGATCCTCAGATGGGAGAAGAAGGTGGATCTGATCAACTACAATTTGGGAGAGATACAAAATTCTAAAAAAGACCATTAAGCATTGTTTAATTACTGGGAGCTAGCATGGTTGTGTCAAAAATAAATCATAGGAAAATCCAACTATGTCTTTTTTTTTTTTTTCCTTTTGCTGGGGGCGGTGGGGAGACCTAGCAGCTTCAGAAGGCAGTTCCTTCTGCCTGAATCCTACAATGCTTCACAGCAAGGAATAATTGAAATTAAAATGAACCTGTTTGTATTAGTAGAACAACTGCAGTTCAATATGTTTACTTATGGGATATGTGGTTTCCCAACATTTGTTTTTAAACAAACTAAGGCAGAATCTGTCATATTACTTAAAAATGAAAAGTAGGTTTCCATATGCAAACAAAAATTGCTTCTGTATAAGCAAGGGGAGGCCAAGTTATTCTGCAGCAAAGGACAGAGACCGACACGAGTGGCTGCTGAACATCCTTCCAGGAACACAGTAGGACACGGTCTTCCATCGCTCCGAGGAGAGCAGGTTCGCTTGCCCGTATCTTGCCATTGCCCTGGCCTCTTCCACTAGAGGTGGCACCTTGGCCTGCCTGAGAATACAGACAGTCCTGCATAGACATGGCCATGCTTCGCAATTTATGTATATATATTTTTTAGTGCATTCGAGTCAGTGTAGACTCCTGGCGACTGCCTGGACCATTCCCTGCAGTTTTCTTGGCCAAATTCCGGAAGGGGTTTGCCCTGGCCTCCTCCTTTCTAGGGCTGAGTGAGAGGGACCGGCCCAAGGTCCAAGGCAGCTGGCCTCGTGCCCAAGGCAGGACTAGAGCTCTCAGTCTCCCAGTTTCTAGCCTGGTGCCTTCACCGCCACACCAAGCTGGCTCTTAGATTGTTTAAAATGGCTACTTGCCCGCCCCTTGTATTTTC